TTCAGCACCCCGAAGGAGAGGCGGGACTTTCCCCCACACTTTGCCACTGTGAAGCTGCAGCCCTCCCGTCTAGGGTGTTGTGCGAAAGGGACTCATGCGCATTAGGATTACCATTGCCAGCCTCCAGGTGGGGCCTGGTGATCTCCCAGAATTACGACTGATCTCCAGAGACCAGTTTTGCTAAAGAAAACTGCTGCTTTGGAGGGTGGAACTCTATGGCATTGTACCCTCCTGAGGTCTCTCCCCTCCCCAAACTCTGCCCTCTGCAGGTTCCGTCCCCAAATCTCCGAGAATTTCCCAACCTAAAGTTGCCAATCCTAATCAGGACAAATACTGAAGATACCACTGATTTACAGTTTTGTGCACGTAACCTCTTCCTGTCATCCATTCGCCCATGTTTTTCTACCAAGTGATGAGGAAAGCCTGATCATACTTCTGCACCGGAAATTATTGGGACTCTTCTGCTTCCCATGTGTCGCGACCGTTTGGGTGAGCCGCTGAGCAAACGGTAGTGTGACTGTGTGCAAGTGAGCACTTCGTCAGCGGGTGCCCAGAAAAACAAGAGAATCTTGCTGCTAAGAATCTGATTGGCCCAGAGTTCTGGTTCCAACTGCAGACTCAACGAGGTGAAGCAGTTAGAGTGCCAGACTTAGATCTGGGGCCGAAAATAAAACAGCCAGTATTGTAAATGCATACATCTGCAGTGCAGCCTCATTTGGAGTACTGTGTGCAGTTCTGGTTGTCGTATCTCAAAAAGGATATTGCAGAGCTGGAAAAAGGACCAGACTGGGGGAATCAAGACGATTAGGTAGTTGGTGCATGTTTTCTGTGAGGGAAGGCTATACAGTCTTGAGTTTTTCAGTTCAGAGAAAAGGTGGCTACTTCAGGTGGGTAGCCGTGTTGGTCTGAAGCAGTATAACAAATTTAGACTCCAGTGGCACCTTTAAGGCCACCAACCCTTAATTCTGCCCAGCCTACCTCATGGGGTTGTTGTGAGAACAAAATGGGGGAGGGGAGAGTCATCCCGCCTTCCTTGAACGAGGGGCAAGAGAAAACAAATATACTTTGCTCTGAGGCATTGCTGTAAGATGACTGGCCCACCAGAAGTATGAGGAGGGCCAGGAGAGCTATCGGCTATCTGACGAAGGGGTTTTTGACCCTCGAAAGAATTCATGCCCTGAAAATCTTGTGGGTCTCTACGCTGCTACTGGACTCACATCTAGCTCTTCTACGGCAGACCAATATCTTTCATTAGTGAGCCCAGAAAAACAAGAGAATCTTGCTGCTAAGAATCTGATTGGTCCAGAGTTCTGGTTCCAACTGCAGACTCAATGAGGTGGGGCAGTTAGAGTGCCAGACTTAGATCTGGGGCCGAAAATAAAACAGCCAGTATTGTAAATGCATACATCTGCAGTGCAGCCTCATTTGGAGTACTGTGTGCAGTTCTGGTTGTCGTATCTCAAAAAGGATATTGCAGAGCTGGAAAAAGGACCAGACTGGGGGAATCAAGACGATTAGGTAGTTGGTGCATGTTTTCTGTGAGGGAAGGCTATACAGTCTTGGGTTTTTCAGTTCAGAGAAAAGGTGGCTAATTCAGGTGGGTAGCCGTGTTGGTCTGAAGCAGTATAACAAATTTAGACTCCAGTGGCACCTTTAAGGCCAACAACCTTTAATTCTGGCCATGAGCTTTCGTGGGAAACACTCTTCTTCAGATACCAAATGAAGTGGCATGCACACAAAAGCTTATACCCAGAATTGAACTTTGTTGGTCTTAAAGGTGCCACTGGACTCAAACTTTGTTCGAAGCCTTAGAATCTAAGGGGATGCATGTCAGAGTTTTATAAAATTAAGCATGGGGTGGAAACAACGGATAAAGTTTTTCTCCCTCTCCCGTTACACTAGAACTCAGGAGAACCCCATGAAATTGATGCGTCAGTAGATTCAGGATGGAGAAAATTCTGGAAGATAGATTGATGATGATGATGATGATGATGATGATGATGATGATGATGATGATGAAGAAGAAGAAGAAGAAGAAGAAGAAGAAGAAGAAGAAGAAGAAGAAGAAGAAGAAGAAGAAGAAGAAGAAGAAGAAGAAGAAGAAGAGAACTCTGACACAAACTGCTAGGACAGCTGTGCTAGAGCTTGTGACTGACCCAAGGTCACATCAGCAGGTGCAAGTGGAGGAGTGGGGAATCAAACCCGGTTCTCCCAGATTAGAGTCCACACACTTAACCACTACACCAAACTGGCTCATGATGATGATGAAGAAGAAGAAGAAGATAGAAAGATAGATGACAGACAGACAGATAGATAGGCAGGCAGATACAGATATGACTATATAGATATGACTGCACTCTGGATGTGAAGGTTTTAAATGAGTTTCAAAAGAAGGGGGGTATCCAAAATTGTTCAGCTCTATTCATCTGTAAGTGACTGTTTTGTATTCTGCCGAGGTGACTAAGTGGAACCTCCACATCAAGAGGCAGTCAACCTCTGACTGGCAGTGCTAGGAGGGAGCATCAGGGGAAGGCCTTGCCTTCTGTGGCCCTCCAGGCAACTGGTTGGCTGCTGTGTGGAGCAGGATGCTGAACCACTGGTTGGATCCAGAAGGGCCCTTTAAGGGTTGGCATATCCCTGGATGTTTGGGGATGCAGCCTGGAGAGGGCAGATTTTTGGGGAAGGGGGGAGATATCAGTGGGGATGTGTTGCCATACACTCCATGTGATGCCACAGAGCCCACCCTCCAAGGCAGCCATTGGCTCCAGGGAAACTGACGTCCGTAACCTGGAGAGAGCCGTTGTAATTCCAGGAGATCTCCAGGGCCCACTTGGGAGGCTGGCAACAGTATCTTTACATTCTTATGTTATGGCTCATGATCGTTGACAGAACTCTCTCTCCTCCCTGCATTTAGCTCACCCATTCTGAAAGCCACCCGATCAAACGGTTTGCACCACATCTTGTGACCGTGAATCCTACAAGTATTTGGGTTCCCCCCCAACCCTGTAGAGCCTCAGATCTGCATTCCATGAGGAATTAGCAAAACAGAGAAGCAAAGCCCCCCCCCCCCGGTCCTGCAAGCAGCTTACGGTTCTGGGGTGGTTGTGGTGGTCGTGGATCCAGGGAGCAGGAGCAAGAGCCAGAGCCAGAGCCCGGGCCCTGCAGCTGAGCGGTCCTTCCCCATGGTGCTTCGAGAGAGGGAGCTGGCAGGCGAGTTGCACAGAGACTGGACTGGCTGGGCACCCTCTGTCCCGCTCCCTCAGCCCTCAGCCAACCACTCCCTTTATACTGGCTCTCTGCAAACAGCCTGCCGGGCACACGAGATAAAGGCGGCCGGGGGG